GTGTAAAAATATAAAATCAAAGACAAAGAAAAAAACAATAGAAAAGTTTTTTTTCACCAGGGTGACCCCTACATGAGCAAAACGTCCTAGTTTTCTGTTTTTAAATCTTCCTTTTGTTCACAGGGTTACTTTTGTATGTTAGATTATGCTGAGAATGATTTTGTTCAAATGTCAAGCCGATCTTGTAGAACTTTAGTCACCAGAAGTCTTTGGGAAGTTGCTGTAGGAAAGTATGATAATTGATGTTTGTTTATTGTCACTGAAACACGAGCAGAGTGCAATAAAACACCACGTCAGAGAGCATGTGGCTCCGTTCTTCTAGCTGCAGAACCTCAAAGATGAGAGAGATCAACACAACCAAGGATATGATCCAACCGCAGGATTTCTTTTATGTAAAATCCTTTGGAAGGTACCAACTACTGGGTTAATGCATTTATCTGCTGTGCAGATGATTTGGTTTCTGAATGTTTTTCTTCTAGCTTTTACCAGCTCTGAAGAAATACTTTTGATCAGTGGAAATGGCATAAATCAAATATGACAGTTTTCTTTTTTTTTTTTTAATATATTCATTTCTCTTTTGATTATGCAGCTTTGAACTTGTTCAGGACTGCTTTTATATTAGGAAAATATGAAACTGAGATACTAGTGTTAAATATTGCAATTATGAAATCTGTTGTAATTAACTCATAAACAACACTTAGTGCTCTTTAGCATTTCAGCCACTTTTAATTAAACTGGATGTGGACAGTCAGGATTCATCTGATTGTGGTTGGAGGAGCATAAATGGAAGGCTCTTGTCTATCCAAGCTTTCCTTTATAATATTGGTATTAGACGCAATGATATTGTAATAACAAGGATATATCTATATATTGTGCAACCTTTGAGATTTGTTTGTTAAAGATGCATTCCAGTTGTAATTGTAAATCAGCATTATCGCATTCCAAGTTGAAAAAATACAATGGAACGCACTTAAAAGTTGAAATTTAAACTCAAAGCCTGAGGTTCCTAACCAGCCCCAACCTCAAAATCCAATATATCAGACTTACTCATAAAACGTTGCGATAACTGCAGCAATAAACTGTTTTATTTATGCCTCTATTGGCTTGGGTCTAATGGCCATGCACATAATACTGTCCACTAAGAGTGAGCATGTTGCCTCAGTGTTTGAATTCAAATAAATCCATTGCTATTGACTTGTATTGCTGATCGTAATCAGCCTCGTCAGTGTACAACAGCAAATCCTACTGGTTTTCCGACTTGCAATTGGAACATGGTAAAGTCAGGTCTGCAGTCATTCACAGATCTGCTTTCTGACCTCTGAGATAAATGGAAATTAATCACAAACTATCAACTCCTAGAATGCTCTTCCTTCCGTCTGCAGCCCTGCTCACTTATAGTCACAGCCACTCCACACCCAACAAGCTATAGCCCTACAGGGTGAAGTGGAGGACAGTAACACAGCCCAGCACCCCCACTGGTTCTTTGGCTGCCTTATGTGGTAGTCTGAAGAGAAGTAAGAAATCATGTAGGGCCGTTGACATTGTTTGGTTTTACATTTGAGCGACATGTAAACTAAAGGAATGTTTTTTTCTGTTGTGGTTTCAGTAATTTAACCATTAGAAAATTTTGGAACCTGCAGCTTGTACTGCTAAATACATTTCTATCTATTAGAATTGCAGGGTTGCTGCAGCTCGTTTAAACAAGTTTCTATTATTGTTTCACTTCTACAACTGGATATGACAAACGCATAGCCAAAATAAAAGGAGATCGTTTTTCTTTGGTAATTTACAAAAAGGTATTTGAGCTGGTAAGGCATGAGTCTGTGTTGAGAAAACTGTCTTATTAGCCTCTTCATCATTCAGTCAGATGCCAGAATCCAGACTGTTTATTTTGGCCGTCAAAGAGACACGGGCAGGGTGGAAATGCGTCAGAGTGTTTTGCCCTCAGGCTCCCTCCTCTTGTTAACCTCCTGTCTCTGTTATGGGAGAGGTGTGTGTGTGTGTGCAAATCAGTTCTGATGACCACCACAGGCTTCAAGATTTTTTTTTCTAAGCGGTCCTCTGCAGTCAACTTAATCTTTTTTCTTGTGTGTGTGTCTCAGATTTATCAACTTGTTTACCAAAACTGAAAGGTGTCGAGTTTCAGGCTTTTAACCTGTTGTTGTATCTTGTAGATATCTGTATCTCTGAGTACAATAAAGTGAAGCAGCCTGAGAATTCAGACATGTTGAGACTAAGTCTTCAGCAGAGGCAGAATTTCACTTTGAACCCAGTCTGACATGCTGAAGATCTTTTCCAAAAATAAACATCTTCTGATTTTTGAAATAAGTAAGTTTAGCTTCATTTTTATTAATCTGAATTTATCATATCGCCTAATAAAATGAGTGCTCAGATTTAAAAAAAAAAAAAGATTCTGTAGATTGTGAATGATTATCTTACCTGTTTTGGATCATTTTTTAAACAACCTCATTTTGGAGAAAAAAGGGTTTAATGTGATTGGATTGAAGAGCTAATGGCTAATTGGTGTGGAGCTAAAAACGACGTATTCTTAGCACAAACGTAGGAGAATTTGGGTTTGGTAGATTGTATATTTGTTGTCACAATACTTATTGGCAGTAAATGTTATATTGTTGGAAAGCATGTTAATTTCCCTTTTTAAATGGTGCCACATTTGTAAGGAACATGCATTTGTGAGAAGAGCAGTAGAGCTGAGTATGTAGGTTGCACACATGAAAAATTGGCCAAATCGTTGCCAAACAGCTTATTTTTGCTGTTGCTATTGACACTTGAGCTTCTGGTACCCCAGGTGCTGCCAGTCAGGTGCCCCATATATGATTTATTACCAAGAAACGTTGTTACAGCAAAGGAATATACCAAGCACAAATTTCTTTGCTTTTTGTGCTAAGGTTAGATTGCTGCAATCCTAAATCAGCTTCACTCTGTAATGTTTGAAAACAGTTTAGACAAACTTCTGTTTTAGTTTAAACTGAACACAGTGAAGTGTTGCTTCTAAACAGAACCTCATGGGAACTAAAACACCTTTTTATGACAAGTTGTTTGCATTAATCTTAATATTCATTATCATTAACAAACTTTTCTGTTTGAACATCAGATTTAATACAAGGCCCTGTATTTCTGTCTCTTCGTGATAGCAGCACAGAAGTGGGTCTGGCTCCACAAAGAGCAGGACAGCAGAGACCCAGAGCTGAGCAGATGTTCAGGGGACCACCCTGTCAACTGTTTGTTCAGTTTGCTCTGGGAAAACACAAAGGCAATCCACCCAGCAGCCTCAGCCTGGGATGCTTATAGCAGATACATACTGCCTTATTATTAACTGGAATGGCTTCAAAAAGGGTTGTGCTGTTTGATCTTTGGACCTTTTTACTGTTTACCCTGGCGCTGCGTGTTGTTTCTCCATAAGCAAGCACAATGATACGTCAGGGTGGCTCGCTGGAAAAATAAGTGGAATGTGTTTTTGGCTGTTAAGTGGAAAATTGTAAATGGGAGCATGGTTAGAGGTGACGTCAGCATTTGCTGCCAGGCGGGGCCGTTTTAACATCCTGGTTGTAGAGTTTGTGCGCTTCAGATCCGTCAGAAAAGAAATGTGAGAGTTTGTTGACGGTTTCCCTGATAGGCAGAGACGGGAAGGGAGTCAGGGGTCATACCAGAGTGCCTGGACCTGAACTCGCCTCTCTACCTCCACACCCTCGCTTTTTTATTTATTTATTTATTTAAGAAAATGAGGAACCTATTTCCTGCACACTGACCCCAAAAATAAGAGACGTTGATCACATAGTTTTCTGTTGCGTTTAAGTTGTAGTTCTTTGTCAACTCTTTTAAACCTTTTCAACTGCACAGGGACTTTTCTGTTTTAAAATGAAAGTGCTTATAGCGCACATAAAAAGGTCAAATTGAAATGCAGCAATAAAAGTGCTCGATAAATGATAAAATCAAAGAGAAATGGATGTTTTTTGGATACAGTTTTGTCTTTCTGCTCATCTCAAGAGAAAGATGAGAAAAAACAAACTGGCTGTTCTTTTTCTCCCACTGGAGTTAAAAATGTAGCAGCTGCTTCCGTCATGAGTATAAATCAGATGAATGCTGAACATCAACATTAGTCCAGGAGACATAAAGTCTTTCACACAGTACTGAGTGTGCATGCTTGCCAACCATATGAAGACATTAAAATATTTGTTTTGAAGCTTAAACATTAGTCAGGAGAAGCACTTGTCATATATAGATGATTTTTTTGGGATCAGCTGTTGCAGCTTGTGGTTTTTTTTTAACGTTTAACTGTTAGGGCTCTTAGAATATGTATAAATTATGCATAATTTTCCCCTGAAAATATGAGACAAATTCACACAAAAGAGATTTCTTTGGCATTCATTGCATTCTGGTTATGGGGCACTCAATTACACAATGCATGACTATTTATTTGTAGCTTTTGTTAAAGCAGATATGAGATCTTAGGACTTTTTTAAAGACATGCAATCCCATAATAAAGGAAAGTCTTATTTCAAGAAAAATGCAATGTTAAATTGATTTTAATTGCAAGTTGGTCCATGTTAAAGTCTGACAGCACAACTTGTTCTTAAATGTTGAAGTGAGTTTTAAAACTGTTTTTTGTTGTTTTCACAGACCCTCCACTGGCCCTAAAGATGAAGTGCACAAGGTGAACATATATTTAAGACCACATCAGACTCATCTGTTGGCATTAGAGTGCTTATTTTTTAATTTTATTTTTTGCACGCTTCTGAAATCATGTCAAAACATAAATTAGATTTGCATGTACAAAAACTTTGTTTTAGAGCACTTTATATGCTTGTGTGGCACAGGCATACCGTTCCATCCAGCAGAGTGACAACACTGTTTGGTTTTTATCTTGTAGTGCCAGTGTGAATTACAGTGCATGAATTTTTTTTTTGTGGATTTGCCGTCTGCATGTTATCTTCACCTTCATCCAGGAGGAACCTCAGGAAATCATTAAGCCTGTGCCAATCACTCAGCCTGCTCCGAGCACCGCTTTCACCAAGCCACTAAATCAGGCCAGTCCTGCATACAACAAGACCGCTCGGCCGTTTGGGGGTGGTAGCAGCACCGGGGTCACGGCGTCTTCCTCCCCAGCTGCTCCCAAAGTCGCCTCTATTCCCTCTGAGTCGTCAGCTTTCACCCCAGCTGCCCCCTCTCAACCACCGCAGCCTCCATTTGCACTGAAGTCCAGCTCGGCTGCAGCGAACCCAGCTCCCAAAATGAGCCCCGGCCACTCCGCCTTCACTTCCCCGTCTGCCTCCTCCACCTCCTCCACTTCATCTAACTCCTCATCCCAAGCCAAAGTGACAGCCCCCTCCTCCCATCCTAATGTCCCACAGTCCTCCGTCTATAACACGCCTATCAACCTGTACTCCAATGCCAATGCTTCTGAAGTAGCTATGGGACAGAGGCGGGGGCTTTTGGAGAGCCAGGGGCTTTCAGATCATGTTAATGGGTATGTACCACTCTCCTGACCAAGCATCGTTTTTCTTTAAAGTTGTAGTTTTTTAAGGCAGAGTAAGAGTTTTTTTTGTGGTTTGTTCTGTCAAACATCAAATACAAAATAAAATTCCCTTCAGATTTTACCCCATTACACCTTACCTCCAAAAAATATGCATCTCATTTGAAAAGCAAACAGGGGAACCACTAATCATCATCATCATCATCGTCAGCTGCATGTGAGAAAAATCCGAGACTCGTTTTACATCAGATTTACATTTTATTCATGGCAGCTGGACAGGGAGCATAATTCAGACATCCTGATGCCACTCATTTTAACTCACTGTGGTGAAGTGACGCAGCTGATGGAACTTATGTTTTTCTGTTTCTGAGGTTTAATGAAAGCACCATGAAGAGCTTCAGTCATCATTATTATCTGACAGCAATTCAGTTAGCCTCTTTTCTATTTAACTTAATACATTTAATTGTCAAGCCACAAGATTGCCATGTGAACATTTTGAGTTTTAAATTCACAAAAAACAACACAAAAACTGTGAAACTTGAGTCTATCTTAGGTTGTGTTAAACAAGTAACAGTTTAAGTATATATGATATTTGAGCTACAATTAATAAAATGATTAGAATTTTTTGTGTAGCAGGTATTTAAACAGAAACCTCATGATCGTTTCTGCCCCAACATTAAAGCAAAGTCTGTGAGGGCTGGGCTTCATCTGCAGTATTTTTGGCCCACTAATTTGTATCTCTTCCTGTAATTTTGACCAAAGCTGGATTGGTAAAACTGACACCAACATTTGAGAGAAGGCCTGCGTATCGGCAAGACTTTGGTAATATGATGCATATCACGACACAGGGGTCATGATATGATATATCATGATATATTGTGATACTGTAAGCAAGGCAATATATTTCCATTTTTTTCTCCAAAAGAGTAATTTAAAAAATCAGCATGCATTACATGAATAAAGTCGGATTAAATTCATTTTATTTTTATGCAATAAGAACACTAAACAACAGTGAGAACTGCAGTTGCATTTCACATTTTTTCTTAAATCCATCAGTTAAACCTTAATTAAAAATCAGTACAGTATCAAGAAGTGAAATATCGTGATATTTCAGGGCATCAATATTTTCAAATGTCAAAATCAAATGGGTATTAACTTTTTAGACTCCACAGTTATGTCTGAGACCTTGGAGTGTATTTGCAAAAGTGTGTGTTTTTCTCAACCCGCATGGTTTTTTCTTGTGGTTTTCTTTGTGCACGTTCTCACAGATGGGGACTTTTGGCTCATACTTCTATTCTCAAGTTGCTTTCTTTATTTCCTTTTATGGCCTAAATCCTTTTCCATGTACCCTTTCTTTGCCCACAGGAGGATGAAGAGACAAACACCAAGTTAGTGCCATGATTGAGAATTACATGGCTGCTGCTAACAATGAATATTTGTGTTCTGCTCTCTGTTTTTCTGTTTTTTATTAAAAGCATGCTTACACCTCTACAAAATTAACATCAACAAACCAGTAAACCTGAATCTGGGAGAGTGGGGGTCGGTTCATAATGTTAGAGTCTTTGTCTTAGTGTGTTTGTACCCAGTGGTGCCACACCTGTCAGAACTTTACCCACTTCTGCACCTGACCGGCTCACCTGCTGCTACCATCAGCGTTAAAGAACATATTAATGACAGTAATGTTCAGTCTGCTAAAACTAGACACTCACAAATGCTAAAACACAATGAAAGTTCTTACTTGGACTCTTAACCGTTGACTGACTTGATAATAAACTGTGCATGTGAGCACTCTAAATAAACACTGTTTTCTGAAACATCCAATAATTTTGGAGAAACAGACGGGACTCCATGTTGACGGAGCATTGCTACCATCTTGTGGTGCAGCTCTGACTCACTGATTTGTTTTAGAGTACTACTTTATGGCAGTATGTAATTTTATTGCCAAGATAACCTTCACAGTTTTGATATTAATAGTGAGACACGTTTTTTTTCTAGGTCATAGAAACTCCACTATCTTGTTGTGTTTTTGGCACTTTATGTGTTTGTGAGTGGATGAGAGTTTAGTTGTTGTGTATTGTACCTCACAACATTCTCATTGCTCATCTGCAGAACTCCACCTCCAGCTAGACCCAGGAGGTAAATGTAAAATCTAACCTCTGCAAAGTTCTGATGTGTATCTCTGGCTCCAGCTTTAGGATTGATTTATTTTTTGGATTGAATGTTGAGCACTTGTTGCATAAAATGTAAATGAAAAGAGTGTTCTTCTGTTTTTATTGTTTTAACTTGAATATTTTTGGAATAACTTGAGCAGTGATGATTTTATTTTTACTTTCTGTACAGGAAACCTGTTGTGGAACCTGAGAATAACGCCTCCCTCATGAGTGATGCAAGCAAGAAGCGCCTGATTGAGGACACGGAGGACTGGCACCCGCGGACTGGTACCACCCAGTCTCGCTCCTTCCGCATCCTTGCCCAGATGACTGGAACTGAGAAAGGTCTGGGCCAAACCCCTGTCAGATTTTAGACCAACAAAATGTGTTCTTTATTCTCCATTTTATCTCACTTTTCTTCTTTTTGGTTGCAGAACAAACATTGGAGAACAATGGAAAGAAGTAAGTGGTTTGTGTTCTTTAATAAGCAGTTTTTGACTTTGCATTTTGTTTTTTACTCTTTACATTTAAGGGTGGTGGTAATCTCTCATACAAGTAGTGCATTTTTTGTGCATACTGTACATAAAATCAATGTTTATTTGCGTGATGTACATAGTAGAGCTCTGTTTTGACATGGTTTATACTGTGACAGTGTTGTATCTAGCTTAGTGGCATGGCTAACTGGAATGCGGTTTCCTACAGTTTGTTGGGAAATTGTGTCACTACCACTTCCCAGTCCTGTAATACAATGTTAATGGAACACCCATCTGTCTCTTTGAGAACCTCCTACTGTTTCTGACACTCCCACTTCAGCACATCTTCACAACAATGCTTTGGGGGGAGGGGTGTTTTGTGGGGCGGGAGCTCGATTGACTACTGAGCTTTAAAGTGCCTGTGACATGCACATTCATGAAATACAAAAAGTCAAATAAAATATATTTAGGAAACTTGGCATAATACCCAATTTTCCCCATTATGTCACATAATTGGCTTTTCTTTTGAACTTGGCTCAGCTAAAGTGAAACAGGAAGTGACATCAAAAGGGGAACTCTTTTGAAAAAGAAAACTCCCTGGTTTTATTTTACTTAAACAATATTATTTGAACTATGACTCTTTCTCATCTCTCTTTAATAATGATTAAAATAATCTAAAGATAAATCAGATTCTTCGCTACAGTCTGTGCTGTTAGCCATTTTAGCAACGCTCTGTTCGCATGCAGACATTCCCCTTTGACATCACTTCCTGTTACTTCACATGCAAATATCTCAACAACTGTTCATGTCAGCGGTATGAAATATTTTTTTTACAATATGTCATCAGTGTTATTCTTCCAAAACTACATTCATTTTTATTACAAAAATTTGACATCACAGGCACTTAAAAGTTAATCTTTTCTTTGACTCTCGTGTTCTAAAGCTTGTTAAGACAGATTTTAGAGTCAGTGGAGAGAACTTTTTTTTAAATGAATGAAAACAGTGCACCTATACCTTGGTGTTATTTATTAGTGTACCTTTCGATGCAGTTTTTTTTTAAATCCCTTCAATTCCTTCTCTGTTTACACCTGTGCTGTCTTTCACTTTGTTTTCTCCTGTTGTAACTGCCTTCTTTTTCCTCCTCTTTTTATTGTCTTATTGGGCTAATCAGAGTGAGCAAGTTGGACCGAGAAGTTATAGGACACAAGTACAACAAGCTGAGAGACTGGCACCATGATGTTTCAGCTCGAGTGTTAAATGTGCAATAGTAAACCACTTGTTTTGTCTTTTTGTTTGGTTTTTGACCATAGTTATTAACTTTTACTACCAGCATTTATGCAATTTGGCTAACCAAAGACTTTTTGTTGAATGTCCATTTCCAAAACAAGACAGCAAACTGATGGTCATGTTGTAATAAATAGTTTTTTATCTAGTAATCTAGGATTTATGCATGTGTACTAATACATGTTTGTTATTTTTGATGAAACACATTGTGCAACTGAGCCTCCACTTTCCTCTGTATTCTTGTTTTTCTCACTGGGTCTTTGTTTTCTCTTTTTCTAAACTAACTAATCTGTGTCATCTTTTGATGGTTTTATCTCAATAAACCAATTTTCTTTGCTGCTTTTACTTCTCTCCTCATCTTTTATTTCTTGTAGTCTTATCTTGGTAGTTTTAAAATGTATTTAGTGGAAGAAAAGATCACTATCAGACAAAATGAAATCAAAGGTTGTAATGTTTTCTGCACTTGACATACATTCAAACCATTACAACTATGCAGTGGGGTTTAACTTTAATTTACTGAAAATATGAACAAAAACAGAAAAAAGCAAATGTCAACAAGGAAAAAAATGAATTAATATTTTATGTAAAAAAGAATTTGTAAAGAAAACACTGTTATATCTTTCAAGTAATGACACGATAGAGACTCATGCTGCTCAGTTTCTCCTAAATTTTTAAAGATTTATTTATATTTTTAAGAAAACAAGGCAGCATAGTGTGTTTGTGATCCTGTTTTATTTGGGTCAGCATAATAATCAACACATAAGACACATTACAATTTATCATTTGGAGCACTTTTTGGCCACTTTTATGTGAAAATGAATAAAATGTCTTTCAACACCTTAAAACCCTTCCAAATGTTTATAAATCCTTATGTACTTTGCACATTTTTTATTTGGATGTGCTTATTTGTGCCCATTTCAGCATTCTTCAGCTTCTTTTTTTTGTTGTTGCTATTTTGGCTTTTTGTGCTATTTCAGTTAACTTTCATTTCCTTTCTGCTAATTTCAACCTTTTTCTTTCTGCTTTTTTCTACCTTTAACCTTCTTTAGCTGATTTTGTGGGCAGCTGTGGTGGAGTGTTTAGGGGAGTCATCCTGTAACCGGTAGGTTGCTGGTTCGATCCCCTGTTCCAGCCATATCTCAGTCATTGTGCCCTTGGGGAAGGTACTTCATCCACCTTGCCTACAGTTGGTGGTCAGAGGTCCGGTGGCACTGGTGCATGGCAGCCCCGCCTGTGTCAGTGTGCCCCAGTGCAGCTGTGGCTACAATGTAGCTTACCACAATCAGTGTGTGAATGTGTGTTTGAATGGGTGAGTGATGAAGTGTGAAGCTCTTTGGAGTCCATGTGGACTCGATAAGGTTCAAGCCATTACCCATTTCAGCTAATTTTATCATTTTTCTACAAACTTCACTTTTTGCGATTATTTTAGCTTCTTACTTCTTAAATTGGCAAACATTTGCTCTTTCTGCTTTTTTTATGCACATTTCTTTTTAAGAAATTTTTAGCTCATTTCAGCTTTTTTAGCACATTTATCACAAAATGCAACATTTTTGTATTTCTACTAATGTGAGCTTTTTTTCACTGTCCTTTTTTGTCTGTCTACTAAATCCAATTTGATTTTAGCTACATTTATGCTCTGCTCCACTTTTTTGACACATTTTTGCTAAAAAATTTCTACTGGTTTTCCCTGTTTTTCCCCCCTACTTTCAGCAAATGCCAGCTGTTCATAGTGAACTTACATTAACAGTTTAATTAATAAACACTTTAAGCTTGTTCAGCTGTTTTCAGCAAAAATCTGTCAGCAATAAGCATTCACACTGCATTTTGACAGAAAAAGCAAAAATATTTAGTTAAATTTTTTTATGTGTTCTTTTATTCATTCAAAAAATATCTACCGGTATATACAATAAACACAAATCATAAATTAAATTAAGCAGAAAGAAGAAAAAATCATATTGGTCCCTCTTTTTCCCCCCGAAATAAATTCAAACAATAATAATGTACAAAGAACAATACTGAGTTCTTCTCGAACAACAATTCTTTTCAACACACACACTATACTGTATCGATTTCTTTAACAAACAAGCCTTTAAACGTACAAATTGATCCAGCAGTTTTGACTTCAATCTCAGGATTATTCCACAGACCTGAAGTACTCTGCTCCTTCAAACTAGTTCGAAACTTAGGTTTTACAAAAATCTCCATTCCCTTAAGATTATATAACTCGATCTCTTAACAAAATGTAATAGAATATTTAAAGGTAATATGTTTTTTGTGAGCCTTATCTGTAAAATATAATCAACCAAATTGTAGAAATTGAAAAACTTCATGTGATAAAATTATGTATTTGATGGGCGACCGTAATTGATGTAGCCTAATAGTAAATTAATAGTCAGAGACAGCGCAACAATATTTAAAAGGGTGTGTATATCTGTGATATGATTTATACCAAGTGTGTTTGTTTCCCAGTGAGGCTGTCGATAAAACCACTCCCGCTGTGCACACATCGCCTGCAGCAAAAATGTTTTCCAAATCTGCCGTGGCACCGAAGAACGGTAACGTCGTCCCTGCTTCTACATACAAGAGTCCAGCAGCCCAGAATAAACCCTCCTTCCAGCCTGGAGCTCCATCAGGTAGGCTCCTATCCCTCCTCACCTTCTTGTTTCTACTTTACTTTTTACACTCTCCTAAATAGTGGTGGTCTTCTGTACATGTTGTTTCTTGTTTCAGCCTACAGAGGGCAGCTCAACTCAACTTTTAAATTACTGAAGCTCAGCTATAACTTTTTATAATAGCTTTAATACCTGACTCTGAACAGTTTAGGATGATGGGCTCTATAAAACCTAAAGGTATTCAGTTAATTAGCTCAGGTTATTGGTTTTGCCCTAAGCTCCCTTTAGTCAAATAGATTTTTAATGAAATGAATATAGATTTTATTTTGTGTGAAAGCCACTCATGAAACACAGCAGTTCCCACCATGATACTTCAGGCTGGTCAGTGTAAAGATTTGCCAGAAGGCATCTGTCATTATTAGCAATACTTCTAAGAGAAAAGTTTGCCCACACACACAAGAACAGACACTCTATGTACCCTGACATATTTCTCAAGAAATGCCACAGAGTGCTGCGTAGGCCACAGTAGCTCTCTGTTGGCTGATTTATCAGATTAACACTCACTTGAGTTCAAGTAAACAAGCCCAGATTTCATGATGGAGGGGGCTGTTGGGTGGAATGTACAGGGCATTCATTTATTCATCCAAAAATGCAGTAAATTTAGGGAATTTTACCGTAAGTACCCATTTAAAGATGCAGTAAATCACTAAATGTAAGAGGACTTGTGTGTTTGGAGTTACTGAGTCGGGGAGACCATAAACAGCAAACAGCACCAGGTACACAGCCGAATGTTTTAGCACGTACTGAAGCTTCTTTAGACACTTTACAACATTTCAACTTTTACTTTGGATTCAAAACTTTTGTTCAAACACGTGTTCTAAAGAAAATGTTTGCACTGATTTCATTCTATCACATTTGATGTCTAATACCTGCACACTTATGCAACTAAAAGACAATTTGTTTTATATTTTTCTCTGTGTAGTTATTTTGCTTTGTTGGTATTTTATTTAAAAAAATGAAGACACTATTGATTTGTGTAACTTTTACTTTTGAACTGAAACTGATTAGTTNGTAATGTATAGTGTAATCCAAGCACAAAAAGTAAGGAACTTACTGTCTAGTTAATAATATATTTGCTGTAACAATACTTCTTGGCAAAAAATCTTACAGCGGTCACCTGATTGGTAGCACCGGGGGAAATTAGAAACTCAAAACATGTCGATAGTGACTGCAAAATAAAGAGTTTGGCAGAGAAGATTTTACACATTTTTAATGTGCACAACCCACATACTGTGCTCTACTGCTCGTTCCACAAATTCATGTTCCTTACAAATGTGGCACCATTTAATAAGAAAATTATAACAGGTTTTCTAACAGTAGAGAATTTATTTCCATAAAGCGTCTGTCAGTGTGCCCCAAGGCAGCTGTGGCTACAATGTAGCTTACCATCATTCGTGTGTGAATGGGTGAATGACTGTAGTGTAAAGCGCTTTCGAGTCCCCATGGGGCTTGATGATGCGCTATATAAGATCGGTCCATTTACCAAGAAGCATTATTAAAACAAAGAAATAATCTAACAAACACAAACTTCCTTACTTTGGTGCTAATTGAATTTACTTAACCTGTTCCAGTTTACGTTTCATGTAGACATTTGCTCATTATTTTTCCACCTCAGGCGCTCCTAAATTGGGTGCAGGTCCTTCATTTGGAAAAGTTACCACTCCTGCTGCAAAAGGAGCAGACCGTCCCACTCCACAGCCTCATCCAGAGGACCTGAACTCTCTGGTGCAGCGTGCTGAGCACATCCCAGCTGGTACCCGCACCCCCATGTGCTGCAAGTGCAATAAAGTCATCAGGTACGTCAAGAGGGAACCGCATTTACTGTAAACCAATCTGAAGCAATGCTTATGATTGATGACGGGATTCAGAAACTGTGATCAGAATCTGTCGCTCACATGTTTCTACTAGAGGCCCGTTCCTCGTGGCCATGGGCATGTCGTGGCACCCCGAGGAATTCAACTGTGCTCACTGCCACTCCTCCCTGGGAGAACGTGGATTCGTGGAAGAGAAGAACCAGGTGTATTGTGTGCGCTGCTATGAACAGTTTTTTGCTCCAACCTGCGCCAGCTGCCACCAGAAGATTCTTGGGGTGGGTTTAAAATCCTGGAGTTGTGTTCACTGTATTTGTGTCTGCAAGGTTTTATTAACTAGAATTAAATGAGGGGGGAAATGGCCTGTTTATGTGCTTGTACCTTTTCATTAAATCCTATATGTAGAATTAGATTGGATTGTTTGCTGATGTGCATCACTTAGGTGCAGTCATTGATGGGGGCTCAGCAAAATCCAGAACCAAAACATACACTTCTTACTCAATTTATATATTTTAGAAATAGTCTGTCAGAACAATGTAACACAGTAATAAAGCGTTTATTGTTTTTGTCCATTTTTCCTTGCAGGAAATCATGAATGCCCTGAAACAGACCTGGCATGTGTCTTGTTTTGTCTGCACCGCTTGCCAACAGCCAATCAGGGGCAACACGTTTCACATGGAGGACGGGCAGCCATACTGCGAAAGAGGTACAGAGAAAAGTAGCTAAAGCAAAACTGTTTATTTTTGCAAACAGACCAACCTTTTGTTCACGTACCATTCAAACAGACTACTACACCATGTTTGGGACCAACTGCCATGGTTGCGACTTCCCCATTGAGGCGGGAGACAAGTTCCTGGAGGCTCTGGGATTCACCTGGCATGACACCTGTTTTGTGTGTGTGGTAGGTCCTGGCCACGGTTTGTCTAAATAGTTTGTGACTAAAAGAAAACACTTCATCTGTCCGCCTCTCTCCGCAGGTCTGCTCCACTAGTCTGGAAGGCCAGCCTTTCTTTTCCAAAAAAGACAAGCCCTTGTGCAAGAAACACGCCCACTCTGTCAACATCTGATCTGGCCTTCTGAAAATGAAAATAAACTAGAACATCATCAGTTTGCAGAATTGTATTGGATGTAAAAGATTTCCACAACAAAGCAAATCGATTTTAATGGAATGACAGCTGATTTAATGTGCTGCTGGAAGCTTTGTTTTCTTTTCCAAGTATTTTGTTGGTTTGCTCTTGTCATTTCTAACTCTGCTCTTTAGCTAAATGTGCTAATTTGAGTACATCTCCGTTCACTGTTAGTATTTGTGCAAACAAATTTTAATACATATTTGGGATTAGGCTTTTTCTTCCTGCCAGAGCTTTAAGGTCATCATAACTTGTGTTCAGCACAGAATGGAAGAGCTGACTGCAGTATCCTACTGAACCCCCTCAGGGGGTCTTACTTTAGAAAAGATTACAACAATAAAAGACCTATTTATTAGAAAACAAGATTCACGTTGTTTGGACACAAAAAGGGAATGATTATCAGAGTTTTGTGTTTTTGTTGTTTGGTTTTTAGTCATTCCTATTAGATAAAGTAATTTTTAGAAGTGTGCAATTTATACATGTTAGATTTGTTATATTGTTAATGCATTGAGAAATGTTTAAAAAAGCTCAGTAATGACGAAACACATCAAGTATTAGCATCTGGTTTAGTTTGGTACTGTCCACAGCTTATCAGATCAATGAGCAGGTAAAACTGTTAGCTTCTTGTGTTAATATGCTTATTGTTAGCTTCTTGTGTTGATATGCTTAAAGAAATATAAACATAAGACAAAGAAAATTTCCCTTCTGACATGTTATAACCCATTGAGGCTTTTGTGATGATTTAATGGAATTTGCTCAATAAAGATAAATTTTAATATACATCTTCAGAGGTTTTTTTCTCTTTTTTAAATCAAAGTGTCAATATAAAAAAGAATGAATTTTGTCGTTTGCTGTCTTCCCTCTTAAAAAAAATCAGTTGAAATATTAGTCTACTAACTGTGATGCTTTAAATTGACAGTAATGATAGAAAAAAAACATTCTGAACCCCTATAAATCAAACCTGAATGAACTTGTCCAGAGGCTAAGCTTCTATGTGGTTTTAAACCAAAGCTGAGTGCATTATTTACGCTGAGTGCATACCCACATTTCAGACCTACATGTTTTACGTGTGGAAATAACTACAAGAGTAAACTCTTTCAAACTGCACCATTTGATATGTGTCAGGATAATCTTTGTCATGATTAATTTTACAGTTTGCATTGAGTACTTAAAAAAAATAAAGCTCCTTTATGTGTTTGTGCATTTTGATAAGTAGCTGTAGCTGTCCCCAGTAATAATTTAGGGAAAGTGGCAGGTTTAAACTGTATTATAACCCCTACATTCACTGTCCTATAGATTTATTTTAGCAGATAGAGCAGAAGATAAGTGAATTTATTATTTAACCTTCACGTGCCGCACTTCTTCAATACGACGTAGGTGGGACCCATACGCGCGTGCGCTGGGCACACGAGATTCTAAACTAGTAGTGGTGCGCGCTTAGGGAAACACTCGCCACAAAACCGAGGAGACGCTGACAAATTTAAAAAAAGAAAAAGAAACCGGAGAAGAGTTCAAGTCGAGACGAATTGGAAACGGGAAGGAGACGGTAAGAGGAGGCACGAGCTCAGTTTGAAGTTGTGAAAAGCAAGAAAAGCTCCGGAGTTTGTTTTTCCGCGCGGCTCATCAGGATTCAGCTGCGGCTGATCAGCGGCTCTGTAATCAGGAGGATTATTGGGTCTTATATCAGAGCGCTTTAACCCTCCTGTTGTCTTCGGGTCAAAATGACCCGCCACTGTGTTAAACCCCCCCAAAAAATCCCCTAAATGTTATTTTTTTAACTTGAGATTTTAAGACTTTGCCTAGATTGGCCAAAACAATAGAAAAAGTTNAATTTTTCTGAGCAAGAAAATGCTATTTTTCGCCTAATTTTTGCTAAATTCTCCGTTTTAAGGAAATAAAACAATTCCACCTTCTTTGAGGGTGTAATTACAGCGAAAAACCAGCAGATGTCGACTCTATCACACAAACGCAGCTTTGAAAAGAACCCGTGACGTTTCACCCCTCCCTGGGAAAACTCACGTTCAGTGACGTAATGACGTCGTGACATAATGACGTCGTGACGCTACGTTACGTTGTGCTTTGACACAAGATGGCGGCTGCACTCGGACACAGAAACCAGCAGCTTCCCACCTACGGAGCTTAAACTCCGTCTTTACGCTTACCAGCGTAACTTTAATTCAGCTTCACGTAACCCCAACAAGGCAAACGATTTATGAGCTGATCCGTGACTCTCTCACGGAAACAGGGCAAGACTTTACTGCGCTAGGCAGCTTTCCAGACTGAATAAACAGCTAGCTTCCCTGAATAGCGCTTAGCAGCGCTCAACTCCACACACAACTCAGTGTGGATCAGACTGACTCGTCTGAATACGCCTCGGCCCAAACAATTAAGTTTCTTAGCCTCTAACAGCGCTGACTCCCTCACGTTGTTTATTTCTATAAACAGTGATGACAGCTTCAAGTTGCGATCTTAAAGCTCCGTCATGGAGTTCCAACTGGCTACACTTACGCGTATGCGCAATTACGCACGTAAACCAGACCAGACTTACGTTCTAAACACCCAAACGGTATGAACACTGGATTTAGAAAGGATCCTTTTAACTCATTCATCCACAGATGTGAGCACAATGCATGCAATCACTCGCTTCTCAAGCGAAACACAGTTACTGCTCTCAGACTCTGGCGGCGCAGAGCTCTCTTCAGCAGAACCTCTCCTCTGCGCGGCGGCAGACAGAGTAACACAGAACCGGACCGCAGCGGGTCCAAAAAACGCACCTTTTTGCCAGGATAAACAGATCTTTATCAGAATTAAGGTCTGCAGTACCTTAACTGATTCTGTACACACAAGCAAAGCCGTTTTTCACTTAAAAAAACAACACACATGCCAAGGT